GAGGCGGCGGCGGGCGCGGGGCGGCGGCGGCGCGGGCACCTCGGCGCGGCACGAGGCGTAGCCGTACACGTCCTTGCTGCGCAGGATGACCGGCGAGAACTCGTGCTTGAGGCTGCACAGGAAGTCCCACAGCTCCGAGTCCGAGCGCATGAACTCCGTGGACTTGGGCATGAAGAGCTTGATGGCGTCGCCCAGCGCCTTGATGCCGGCGAACGACACCTGCGAGCGCGAGTACACAACTTTCTCCGCAGCGCCCGACACCCCCGGGGCCGCCGCCGCCGCCGCCTCTCCTCTGCTGCCCTGCGGCTTCCCCCCGGCCGCCGCCGCCACCTTCCTCCTGCGGGACATGGGGGCGGCCGCTGCGCCTCCTCGCTGCGGAGCGCACTCTAGATCCTGCCGCCGCGGCCAAGATGGAGCTTTAAAATCCCAGGCGGAGGCTGCGCTCGGCTCCGCCCTCCCTCGGCGCCCGCTCGTTGGCCCGTTTGAAACACGTCACCGTTCAGGCCCCGCCCACCGCGGCCGTTTGGAGCCTAGTGGCTTTCTCCCGCGTGGGGGCCTGAGGGGAGAGGGGGAGGGGAAGGGAGCGGCCCCCTGTTGGGGGCTCCTGCTCCACCAGCAGCTGCCCCCCAGCCCATTGTGGTGCCCACGTGTCACCTCATGGCAGCCCTTTGTCCCCAGTGGGAAACTGCCTGGGTGGCACCTGGGTTGCCCTTGACCTGAAGATAATGTTCCCCCATTTGCTAATCTGTGTGTAAAGATATTCCCCTCCCTCAGAGCTTCACTTGACCTTGACCTGAAGATAATGGCGCCCCCTCTGCTCACCTGTGTCCAAAGATATTCTCCCTCAAAGTTTCAAGGCCACCTCTGAACCCCCACAAAAGGAGCAGATTCAATATTCATTGCCTGTCTACTCTTGCCCCTCTTCTGGTATTGCATTTTGACACCCTCCTGACGCCCGGGGTTCAAACTACGCATTGATTCTAAGGGCGGTCTGCCAAAAACAGTAATTAAAGGGTTAATTGGAAAGAGTAATCCATCGGAACCCCCCCCCAGGTTATGGGTTTTCAAATCTTACAGGGGGGCTCTTGTCCCTTATGGAGGGGCTCAGCCCCCCAAGTTACCCCCTCATTTGCACCCTGCTTGCAGCCACAGTCCCCAGCACAAAGCTTGCAGGCAGCCAGTTGCCTGCGTGGTTTCCCAACACTGTGTGTTGCTGCAGGAAATTAAAAAGTGAATACTGAGATGAACAGGATGAGGAAAGCATGGCACTGCCCCGAAATGTACTGCCTGCTTGGACCTGGGACCCATGAGCCAGGGAAGATGAGGACTGTGCTTTCCAGAGTGTCCAAGCTCCAGTGAAAGAAATATTACACACAGGATTTACATAGCGATTTCAAAGAGCAAACACTTCTCAGAAAAAGACCAAAGTCTCAAAGAGTGAGCCTGGAAGAAAAGAATAAAGGAATGAGCACACTTAATACCAGCTTAGAACTACAAATTTACAATGTCCCTACAACATGAAATGAAATCCATTTGTCGGTGCAGAGGATGTTTGGAAGACCAAACGTAACGGTTTTGCCGTTCAATGACATGCTGAAGACATGAAAGTATTCACACAGCAGCATGATGAGATAATAAGAAACTCCACGGTTTTGGGTGTGCAGATAAGGAAGGGTGTGGTAGATGAATTGTGATGGCTCTTCTTAAATTAGACTTACTCCATCTGCTTGTTCTTGTGTTTCTTCTTAAAAATGCTTACAATCAGGGACGGCGCCAGGCTCTTCCCGGTGGGGCTGAGGTGGGCTACACAGTAAATTGGAGGGGCTGCACTGCAGGCAGGAGCAGGGCGGGTGACAGCCTGGGGAGGAGGGGGAGCTATGGGGGAGCTAAGTCAAATTTTGAGGTGGTGATAGCCCCCTACATGCCTCCTCCTAGCGCTGCCCCTCTCATAGTACCTGTTGCACTATATTATATTGTATCAATCCCAGACTTCAAGGCTTTTGCTAGTTGCCTGAGAGCATCAGGAAGACATTTTATCCCTGTAAATGCATTATTTTGCTTCTGTTTTTGTTTTTTTGTTTTTGGGTTTGTTTGGGGTTTTTTGTCTTCCTCTAATGTAGAGGTTGGCAACATTTTGGAGTGGTATGCTGCAGCAACCCAGCTCATGTCTGAGGTGGGCCACAATTAGAGCTGAGTGATTGACCAGGGTGAGCTGGTGCTCTTTGTGCTACCAGGAGACATCTTGAGCACATGCCTCTTGGGTCCTGTTCATTTCTTTAGGGATAAACCAATCACACCCTACTTGGGGTGAGGAAGGGATTTTCCCCCAGGTCAGGCTGGCAAGGATCATGCTCCATTTCTTAGAATCATCTGAGCATATTTTATGTAACAAGCCCCCAGCCATTGCACTGGCCAAAGCATTGGTGCCAACTTTGTCTCTCTCTCTTTCTCTGGCACAACGTAAGTTTATCTTTATTAGTTTTGGTTTTCATTTGTTTGAGGATTGTGGTGTGTTATTGTTATTGTTAAGTGCTTTGTGACAGTAGCCTGCTAGAGCAGGGGTGAGGAATTATTTGGGCCCGGGGGCCACGTAGGGAGTTTTGCTGAGCTGTCGTTGGCCAGGTCAGCACCCCCTTCTCTCCCCATGCAGCTCCCTAAGTGACTCTGTTCCCCACTTGGCCAGGCTACTGGAATGGCGCCACAGGCAGGCGGGGAGCAGCATCCAGGAGTGGGATGGGCGAGCGGGGCTAGGGCTGGGATCATGGAGCAGTGACAACACAGAACTGGGGCTGGGGCCAGGGCAGAGACTTGATCCATTGCCCACACCGTCCCTGTGATGGCTGCCAGTTCTGCAGGCAGGGGCATGAGGGGAGCGTATGTGGCTCTGCCCAGGCCACAGCCCTGCGCTGTCACTGCATAGAGATCCCAAGGTGCTCATGGAGACCGTCTGGGACCTGTGTAAGCAGGACACACAGCCAGACAGGATGAGGCTGGGCGTGGATGGGGAGCTGCAACTGAGGCTGGGGCTGGGATCATGGGGTGATGACAGCGCAGGGCAAGGGACCAGGGCAGAGCCACGATCCACTTCCCACACACCCCTGCCCATGGAACCCACAGCCATCGCAGGGCCACGCAGGCAGTAGATCACAGCTCTGCCCTAGACCCTGGCCAGACACTGTCACTACCTGTCCTGTGATCCTGGCTTGCCTGCCCATACCACGCCTGAATACTGTCTCCTCCCCATGTTCCCATCACATCCACCCGGCTGTGCACCCTGCCCACGCAGGTGCTGTCTCCAGTGGGTACAGAGTGGACAAACTGGAGTGCCTGGGCAGTGGGGCTAGGCCCAGGCAGTCAGAAGGAGCCAAGGCTGCCAGGAAGAGAGTCCAGTCACTGCCCCAGCCCCACTGTGCACTCGGGGGCTGCGGAACCAGCTGCTCATGCCATGCACCTGGGCCAGGTGGGACTGAGGGACCCACCGTGAGGTGGACAAAACCCCTTGGCAGGCCTGATCTGACCTTCAAGCCATATTTTGCCCACCCCTGTGCTAGAGGGACCAGAACTGATTGACTTTTATTAGTAGATGTTTTGGATTGGGAATCCAGAAAAAAGATGACAAAGCTGATATGGAAATACAAAGCGCCCGAGCGAGGGACTAACAATAGAGG